ATGTCACATCGTTCGACCTAAAGGCGGCGGTGTGCAGCCACGGGTTATTCATGATTGCGCCCAACCATTGGGACCGGACGTCACGCGCGCTAGTGCGCCCCCTCCGCGTCACCTTCGACCGTACCACCTTCATCGCCGTCTGCATCTCCCGCCACCCCCACGTGCCTCTTCGATGTGTTCCTCGTTTCTGTCGTCAGTGCGCTCGATGCCCCCTCCCCGCTCGACCAGACTGTTGATATTTCTTAACGACATTAGTAGAAATATAATTCCCAGTAATGACGTCAAAATATTATTGGTATATTTATGGCTACAGATATGATCCGCAAGCGCACGGATATAACATTGTATCATTTCACCCAGAAGTATTCCAAGGTATCGTATTTATTTAATCCCAAGGGAAGATATGATAAGAGAGAACTATGCTAATAATTTATATATATTACTTGTATACATCAAGGACTATGCAGGGGTTAAATAATTCAAAAGGTAGGATAAAGGTGACACACAGAAAAAAGAACTAAGATACTCTCACTAAAATATAATCTAAACTAAGTGGAGAAAGAATAAGAAAATAATTTATTCATGTACTTCTAATATACAATCATTTTTAGTTTACACTTCCTAGTATACAGTCATGCAGCCAATACCCCTAACAGTGCCCTCCTAGTGTTTTGAGAAGCCACCCCTGATTGTCGAGTTCCTTATGATAACCTGTCATGGCTATCCAACCGGGGTTAAATACGGAGGAGTACCCTTCCTAGGAAAGTTTCTTAGGAATATATACTAACGTGGAGGAATACTCGTACTGAGCTGTCACCATCAGTGGCCCACCTCTACTGTCCCGCAGCATATATATCCAGATAATGATACTTAATGATCTAAGCACCATGCTTACATTATTAAATACTACTCTGTATCCATGCTACACAACTATATCGATACAAGTATAAAATAAAATCGATACTCAGATAATATAAAGAAAATAAAATACCAAAGATGTATAAAGAAGAATATTCTATTAATTTGATAAGTCTTACAAAAGAAGAGAGAGAAGCTTCTAGAGCCATATCCGGATTCTCCAAAAGACTCGAGGACTAAGAAAACTATTCTATTTCTACTCCACTAGCACTAGAGCACTAACTAAACTTGAGAGAGAGCTCTTTGATCTTCTTCTTGAGTGTGTGGATGAAGTGAGGAGGTGAGGTCCTTTTATAGACTCCCATTGACGGTTACAGCGGTTTGGAAATGTCGGAAATACCCTGCAACCGTCATTGGGGAGGCATCTGGAGCATCCAAGCCAAAGGGGAGAGCCAACGGCTGAGATCAGGGTTCGGCCGAAACCTGGACTTGCCCAATTGGCCTATAGTACGGCAGGTGCGTCTCCTAATGACTCCTCAGTCAAGTGGTGCGGTGGTTTGGCCCAATTGAAGTTATCTTAATAGGTTTGGAGGCCCATCCACCCATAAGTCTGCCTCTGACGGATTTCGATTAATTATTCGGTTATGTTCCGTCGATTCTCCTCCATTTATGAATGCTTCTCCTGCACATATGTTAGTAGCATAGCACATAGTGGAAGTAGATATTTTATTTGGAAATTATGCATTACAAACATAGCTATTCTTCTTTGATTGAATAATATTGACGGTCAAAATTGGTTGATAACAACCGTCAACACAGACCTCCATCCTCGAATGGACGGAGTTGCCGTCCTCGGCGAGAACACACCGCGACAAACGGTTGTGGCAGATGACGGATATGGGCACAGCGACGGGCGGTGAGGCCATATTTTGTGCTAAGTCGACCGGATTTGATCCTGTCAGCGAAGATTTGTCTCAGGGGCAAAGGTGCCATTTTGTGAAAATTCTCTCCTAAATAGCAGGAAATTATAAAATAATGTGTATAGTGTCTACCAGCAAATTACCATATTTTTTTAGTGTCCTTGAGCAAATTCACATTCTTAAGGTGTCCCGCAACAAAGACTATATTCTTTGAGTGTCTTGTAGCAAATTTTGTCATTTCTTTCAAAAGTTTTGTATACAAAAGCTACCTTAAAAATCATATCATTCTATTTTTCAAGATTTTTTAGCTAATACTAATTAATCATGCGCTAAACCATCATTTCATTTTGCGTGCAATGAGAGAAGTGTTCCCAACTTCAACTAGCGAACACAGCTTTAAGACTACTTTATAGCAGGAGGGGTTGCATAATACGTTACTGTAGACCAAAGTAGAAGAAGAGTAAGAATTTGTAGATTTTTTTTAGCATCTCGCTGATATAATCGCGAAAATGAACTCTGCTCCCAACCCTTGTTCCATTTTTACTATTCCCGGAGAAATCCACCAAAGCTGACTTGGTATCGCCGGCGAATGCCCATTAGGCCAGTCACAATGGGGGTTTCACTGGTGTGTCATGCACATTTAATAGGGGTAAGACTGAATAAAAAATGATTATTTGCATGAAATGGGGATGAGAGAGAAGGAAAGAGTTTCATCCTGGTGAAACTCGTCAGCGTCGTTTCCAAGTCCTCGGTAACAGAGTGAAACCCCCGTTGAGGCCGATTCGTTTCATTCACCGGATCTCTTGCGTCCGCCTCCGCCGTGCGACCTCCGCATTCTCCCGCGCCGCGCCGGATTTTGGGTACAAATGATCCCAGCAACTTGTATCAATTAAATGCTTTGCTTAGTCTTGGAAACGTCAAAGTGAAACCCCTCCACTGTGGGGATTGTTTCATAAAAGATTTCATTTGAGAGAAGATGGTATAATATTTTGGGTAGCCGTGCAATGACACTAGCCATTGTGACTGGCCTTAGGGATTTCCAGAATGGTTGGCCGCCAATGCGTGCCTCTCTGTGCCACACCGCACCACGAGAGGAACAAAAATAAAAAAAAAAGAAGAACAAAATTAGGAAAAATACATAAAAAGAAGGGGAAAGCGGGAAAGCAGCGCCGCGCCGCCACATGACAGCACTACGTGGGTCCTATAGGTACCTGTTAGGAGCTGTGCCGACAGGTACCTTGCATCCTAGGCTCTTGGATCCAGCTGAACGGACGGACGAGATAACAGGCACCGAGAGGTATCAGTAGATACGAAGGACGGTAAAAAAAAAACTCATGAGATATAGTCCAGAATGTAATTCACAGCAAAAGTGCTGCATATGATAAATGCACAACTACCACCTAATGGTGATTAAGTGCCTTGGATTCCTTACTAATGACTAGTAATGTGTCCGTACTAACGCTACGATGATATTTTGTATTGCAAACTAAATGACCCAAAAAAGATAACATTGGCAATACAAGTGTTCAGATTTCTTTGAAAACCGAATAATCAAATAAATATTATATGTATTTGAAAACCAAATAATCAAGCAAAGATATTATATGTATTTGTGTGAATGCTAAATGATTTACCAAATAAATTCATTATACCGTAAAATTTTAGCATAAAAAAATTATGCTTAAACTTGCACCCCGAAGACAAAATAATTCAAACGTCACAAAATTTTTGCCCAATATAGTAGATTGATTTTGCCAAAGGGAGTAGTATAAATCTAACAAATCTCACGTTGCTTAACAAAATAAAAATTAATTTAACAATTCCACATGTATATAACATCTTTCAAATTTCGCCACGCAATTTGCATACAAATAGTTCTGGCCTGTCAAATTTCCCTCGAGAAATTTCCACTGGAATTTCATATATAATCAACCTGTTCTCTGCATATATTGACTGTGGATAAGCATGCACTCTCTGCATTTAGAAATAGACCCATCAAAGGAAAACATTTATTTAAAAAACTAAAATAATAGTACAAATAATGCAAAATTAGGTTATATTACTATTAGTCAACTCCTATGACAATTATTAGGCCGAATCAAAGGATTGTGCGCCATGCAATGCATCCAGAACTTTTTTGAACCATTAGGAGTAAACTATATTTTTACCATCATGTCTTTTACGGTGAGTAATGAAAGATCAATACAGGGAACCAAAATTACCTATCTCACCATCAGTTTTACTCTTCTCTGAATTTTTTATCACGCCAATGCTTGAGATGCACCCTAAATTTTCATTTGTGATTAACAAATCCACCTTACTCTTTGAACTCATACATGATCAGTTGGCAAAACACATCCCAGTATCACCTAGCTAGATCACGTGTGCCGAAAATACATTCAGTCACTTGTAAGTTCTAACTGGAAGACAACATGTGTACCAGATGAATAACATAAAAAGGAAAATGAAGAAATATAATTCAATGTTCTATCAATATAAACTAACCTTACCCCGACAAGATGCAGCCCAACTGCTAATGCTGCACACATGTCCTCACAATTGATCCAATATTTCCTGGGATCTATGATGTACAACCAATGATTATTAAGTCTGTTATCTACTCTCCACATTGCAAAACAACAAATTCAAGGATCCGCTGGAATCAAAATTCATATAGATAGATATTTTATATTCCTACAGAGAATTAATATGCCCAATGGTCAAATATCAGTTTTTGAAACTCCTATAGGAAATGTAACCAGTATAAATTTTCTCCATCTAAATTTCAGATAGAACCTTGAGAGGCATTTTGTAGCATGAATACAAACTACACACAATGCTAGTACTGAACATCCCACATTCCCACTGGGGCTTTCACCATCACAAAATACAGAAAAGCCACGGTACCATCTGACTGGAAGAGTGTCAACCATGCAAGGAATGACAAAAGCCACAAAAATTGCAGGCATCAATGTTTGATTCTGTCAGAAGTACTCAGCTGGCAGAGGCTATCCAATCAGGACATATACCAAACTAAACAAAATTACAGTCAATCGAAATTGCTGGAGCCATAAGGTTAAAAGCTAAAAATGTAGGGCTTGCTCGCCCCCAGCTTTCAATTTTTAATAAATGTACATTTGATTTTCTCTAAGAAACAGGAATGAATACTTATACCAAGTGAGCTGAATTTCATGGCTGTGTCCTCATGATATCACAATCAACTGAAATCAATGATACACAGGAAAAAAACACTATTGGGACGAAATAGTTTTGCACAAGGTAATTGACATGGAGTATATGTATATGACATTATAAGGAAAAATAACAAAGTTGCAGAAAGAAGCATAGTTGGGCAATTGCAATATGGAAGGATAGTGTCAGGGTCTCGGGGGTACCGATGCAGTGGCCGGCGGCGTGGAATCCGTGCGTAACGTCAGCGACGAATCGCGAGCAGGGACGCATCCATTGGCGTCGGAATCGGGAAGATGCCAGTCCCGACGGGCATAGGACTGCCGCCGAGGCGGTACTACACTGCTTGTGACCTGCATAAAGGCCGCACTCGTCCCGATATTGAGACCTTGCCGCCGGCTTGGAGATGGTGGTGGCGGCACAAAGTTAGACCTATGCTCATATTTGGCTGAACTTAATGTGATGTGGCCTGAAGATAAGCTATATAATAAGGGTCACTTCAGGTATAACAAGTACCACAAATTCCCAAATATTCTGCAGCATAACTTACTTGTTCAAGTAAGAACACAGAATACCTAGAGATATATAACGCGGAAGTGAACAATTAGGCATAAAGGAAAGCACCTGTTCGGCGGCAGGAAAAGAAGTTATAAATTTTTGAATATATTACGAGCTTTAAAGAAATCTGGATTGCTTGGTGAGCTATAAAATTTGACTGAAACACAACCAACGTTCCTGCAATAAAGATAGCCCATTGATAGGACAAGGGTTATTAAGTTAGCAGGATGAAAATTTGATCCTGATCTTTGATATCTGAGGATGCATGCAACAATTATCTATTTCTCTTCCTGAAATGATTAAAAAATATTAATAGGGGGGAGAAGTGCATGATTACCTCATTAGCGGAGAATTTGTGAGTCCGGTTACAATTCCAGCAACATGACAATATTCAAGGCTGGAAAAAAAGGAGATCCATTATTATTTAAAACAACCCCTGACAACAAAGTGCTTTGCTTTTGCCATACAAAGCGCATAATTTTGTGGCTTAATCAAGTTGAGCTACAGAAGCAAGCCCCAGTCTTCAATGCACAAAAACAATGTGAAAGTCAGATCAGAGCAAACAAAACTCAAAGCAAAGCAAGTATGAAGCAGTGGCTGAACCGACATAGATGGAAGAATGTATATGTGGTCTGAGAGTACCAAATAACATAATAAGTGGGTTACTTGCAGTTTAGCTGACCTGGTGTAGGCAAATCAGCGAACAGCTTGCATACGTTCAAGAGAGCAGGAAAACGGCACAACAAAAGGGCCCAAACGCTGTGGCACGGTCAGAGAGGACAGAGGCCTTCTGCTCAGCTGAGCGAAGTGCCGATCCCAATCCTTTTTCCTCTTCTTAATTCCTGTGCCTTTAAATGATAGTAATGTCACCAAGCAGACCTTTTCAGCTTTCCCAATTTTTTGCAGTAAATAAGCAATCTTTTAACTGTTCAGAGAATAAATTGAAATGCTCTAATAGGCGACAAATCATGAATTTGGAGTAATAAAAAAAATATTGATTTGGGAAAAAGTGAGAGGCATACGAAAATGTGTTTTCTGTTCTACATGATTGCTTCAGAATTTGTATTAGCAGTATAATAGAAAGGCAGTTGTATTAGCACTATATATGAATTTGTATTAGCACTACAAAAGGAATATTGGTGAGTATTTACCTGTCCCGGCGGACAATTGCGGTGTTGAGCATCCTGCGTTTGATCTACATTTAGGCGAGGCAAGTAATATCTAAACAAGAAATTTGTTTTGCATCAATTATATGAGAAGTCAGTTATCTGAGAAGCCAATTGATCAATGTTTCGATGGAATGGCATGGGATCGAAGCATGAATTAGTGATGAACTAACCTGGTTCGGCGTCTGAACGGCACTGTGAGGACAGGGCGGGACGCAGAGAGGACGCGCATGGCGAGGATTGTGTGGATGCCTGACTGTGCGGTGGAGATGAGGTTGCTGCTGCAGATCAATCGCCGAGGACGACCTTGGCAGGTACATCACGGCGCACATCGAGCACGTCGCGGTGACTCAGCGTGGGACTTCGCCGGTATGATCTTGAACGACGGCACCTGGCGGCATCGGCGGAGCGTGAGATGTCAAGCCCCAGCCAGATTCAGAGCTTGACAAGAACAATTTCAGAGAAAAGAGGCTAAGTAGCTACCCTAGTGGGATTAAATTGAAGGATTTGCACTGAATTGAAGAGTAAACAGTATAAGGAAATAGATGGGCACCGCAAGACAAGAGTAAAGTAATTTAGGGTTCAATTGTTCGATACAGACATTGCGGCGGTGCTAGCTTATAAAGGGGGTCGCTAATACAACGAGACAAAAGAGATGATGTCAACAGTACGGCAACAGGGGCGTGCTGTAGACGGTCCAGGCGCATCTCCATCGTCCGATCTTCATAATCTCCAGCCCCAAGCGTTATCGAATAATCCCAGCCATTGGATAACTGAACTTGCCTTCTCTTCCAGCGTTCAAACATGACTTCACTTCGTCAGAGTTCTCACATTGCCCCCCCCCCCCCCAAGCACCCATGTCCTCATGGGTTAAAAGCAGGAAACACTTTGGAGATGAAAGCAGCATCTTCCCAAGTTGCAGCAGACGGAGGTAGATTCCCCCATTGGACTTTCCATTGAACCACAGGTGCATTGTTTCTAGGAATCAGCCTGCGTTCCAAAACGGCCGTTGGCTGAGAAAGAATGTTACCGTCATCATCAGTGAGAGGGAGGCCAGGTTCAGGAACCACTTTTGGACCGATGTGTTTCTTCAGTTGGCTCACATGAAAGACTGGATGGATTTGAGAAGATGCCGGTAACAGCAATTTGTAAGCCACTGAGCCAATGCGTTCCAAGACACGAAACGGGCCATAGTATTTAGAATGCAATTTCAAGGAAGAATGTAACCCCAAGGAATTGTGACACTAAGGCTGCATTTTGAGATAAACCATATCGCCGACAGTCAGTACTCGTTCACTACGATTCATATCAGCAAAGTGCTTCATACGTGCTTGTGCTTTGAGGAGGCTAGACTTGATATCAGCAGTAATAACAGATTTTGTAAAATCAAAGGTGTTTTTTATTATTATTCTGTGATAAACAATTGGCATTGGAGATTATTGGTTTTGTTATTTGGAATTTATTTTCGAAGTGGATTTTGGAGATGATTGGATTTTACAGGTGAATCTACAGGATACTGCTGTTATTTCATGTGACCGGTCAGACCGGGCTGTGTATGCCGGTCAGACCGGCGGTGATCGAGCGGTTGGACCGGCCAGCCCGCGGTCTGACCGACCGACTCTGTGTCAGTTTCGGTTTCGGGTTGTTTATTTGGATATCCGTGATTGTTTCATGATTATGGCTTCTAGATGGATACTATACGTATGTAATACTGTTGTTTGCTACTAATGAGTCAAGTTGGAGATAGCTTGGTCTCGGAATATGGTTTCTTTGTTTATTTCATGCATGTGTAGGTGACTCGATGCCTCGAGAGAGTATTTGCGGTGATGGACCGGGAGTCGGCTTGGGGATAAGACGACGTCCGTGGTGGTCAGAGATCATGCGGGATATTTAGGCTAGAGTTGATGCACGTGGTTGATGGAGATTCCATATAGCATACGATGGAGGTATTGTGTGCGTATGGGTTGCAGAGTCGAATTTGGAAGGAGTCCAAATTTGGTACGATTGGTTATGTAAAGTTTCTTTCTTGTACTAGAGGGTTTCCTAAAGTGTTTAGGATTCCTAGTATGAGTTTGATTCGTGGCTTTAGGCTGCCTACCTCATGTATAAATAGAGGGGGAGCGTGAGGCTTCCCGGTATCGCTTTTGAGAGCAATTGAGTTGAGTTTTGAGTTAGGGTTTCGAGTTTAGTCGAAATTTTTGTAAGGAGTGCTGTTGGTGCACTTTGTAAATACAGAGAGAAGTAATAAAGTCGTTATCTACTTTAAGAGTTCTTCGATTTGTGTTTCACCGGATTTCGGCGGTCCAACCGGCAATATACTGGCGGTCAGACCGGCGGCAAGCGGCGGTCAGACTGGCGGCATACGGGCGGTCAGACCGGCGGCGGCGACAGGCGCGGCAGGCGACATCGGCGGTCAGACCGGGTGATCTATACCGGTCAGACTGGCGGCATCCACACGGTCAGACCGACAAATCAATCTCGGTCAGACCGATCTCCGTTGAATTCGAGGGTAACTTTTATTTCCGCTAAAAGTTTTCGGTTTTTGGGTATACCAACCATTCACCCCCCTCTGGTTGGTTTAGTTCTTGTGATTCGATCCTACAGATTTTGCTTCTTCCTTGTTACGAGCATCAGTGAAAAGAGATGGAGATAGCAAAGATTCAGCTAGCAAGGGAGGTGGGACCCCATGTATTGCCTGGTAAGGAGTCATGCCCAAGGCAGTGTGGAAGGATGTATTGTACCACCATTCAGCGTAGGCCAGCAGTGATTTCCACTTCTTGGGTTTAGTGAATGTCATACAACAAAGATAATTCTCCAGGCACTGGTTGACCCTTTCGGTCTGTCCATCTGTTTGGAGGTGATAGCCACTACTAAAATGTAGTTTTACCCCGGCTTTCTCAAAAACATCCTTCCAAGTTTGACTAGTGAAAATTATATCTCTGTCACTGACAATAACTGCCGGAAGACCATGGTGCTTGTAATAATTTTCCACAAATTGAGTAACTATCTGGTCAGCTGTGAATGGATGGCTAAGGGCAACAAAATGGGCATATTTGGTAAACCTGTCCACAATGACCCAAATGACATCCTTGTTATCAGATTTAGGGAGGCCTTCAATGAAGTCCATAGAAATGTGTGTCCAAGCCATCTCAGGGACTGGCAGAGGGTGAAGTAACCCAGGCTGCAGATTATGTTCAGACTTGTTTTTCTGACAAACTGGGCAGAGTTTGACATATGAGGCAATATCCTTCTTCATGCCTGGCCAATAGAAAAGTAACTTAGCACGTTGATAGGTTGCTCTTTCACCTGAGTGACCCCCCAGAGCAGAATCGTGGAAAGATTGTTGTAACTTTGCTCTCAAATCAGTACCAGCACCCACATAGAGACGATTCTTATATCGCAAGATGCCACCAGTCAGAGTATAAGAAGGATGGCCCTGAGGAGTGATTCTCAACTGAGATTCCAATGCTGTGCATTTCGGGTCTGTTGCATAACTTGCCAGGATCTCAATGATCCAAGTAGGAACAATAATAGTGGTAGAAAACCACTGAGCAACAAAAGGTATGCGAGATAAGGCATCAGCAGCCTTGTTTTCTTTGCCTTTCTTGTACTCTATTTTGTAATTGTAGTTGAGGAGCTTGATTAGCAATTTATGTTGAATCCCTTTTGTAAGGCGTTGCTCATTAATGTATTTGAGGCTTGCTTGGTCTGTTCGAATAATCAGAGAAGTGCCCAAGAAATAGTGCTTCCACTTTTTCTGCTTCCAATATAGCCAATGCTTCTTTGTCATAAGTAGAGAGTCCAGCTGCTTTAGGACCAATTGCTTTACTAAAATATGCCAAAGGTCTGTTGTTCTGCATCAAGACAGCACCCAGGCCGGTACCACTAGCATCTGCTAGCAGTATAAAAGGCTGAGTGTAATTAGGCATTGCAAGGACTGGCGCATGAGCCAATTTATCCTTGATTGTTGCAAAGGCTTGTTGCTGCTCATCTTGCCAAGTGAATCCAGTTTTCTTCAAGGCAGTAAATAGTGGTTTGCCAATAAGACCAAAATCTTTATTGAACTTTCGATACTTGTCGACGTTTGATATCGTGATTTCAGTATTTGCATAGTATGGGGATCGTTGATACCAGAGTATATGCGAGATTGAGGTAAAAGAGATGGAGACAATATAGTCATACACTCTCCCTAGCCCCCAGCCTTGTCGTCGGAGAATCGTTCTCGGAGGATAAGGCTCTTGGACCCTTGACCTGCCTTGGTTGAAAAAACGCTTACCCTAGCCCCCAGCCGTGAAGTTGAAAAACCCAATTTCCGATTAAACGGCTTGGTTAATACGCACGGTGAGAACTCTTACATGACCAGATCTTACATGGTAGTTTGTCTCTGCATGATCCGACAAGGCCTTATCCGCTCTGGACGTCCCCAGCCGAAGTTCCCTTAGGTTCCTCAGAGGCCTTGCCAGGACGGCATAAAGGGACAGTAGGATTGGTTTCAACTCTAGGTGTCGTCGTGGCAAGGGATCTCTGGGTAAAACACTTGGCAATATCGTGTACCTGATATCAACTTTGTTGGAGTAGAGGTAGTGGGAGAATCACTGCACCTCTGGTCGAGGACCATATAGTAGTCGTAACTCAACCACTAGAAGTGGATGTAGTCGGAGGAATTGCTACACTGCTGGTGGAGAACCAGGTAGTAGTCGCAACTCGACCACTTAAAGTGGAAATAATGGGAGAATCGCTACACCGCTGGTTGAGAACCAAGTGTAGCCTTAACTCGACCACCTGAAGTGGAAGTAGTGGAAGAATCGCTACACCGCTGGTCGAGAACCAGGTGTAGCCTTATCTCGGCCATTAGAAGTAAATGTACGAGAGATCGCTACGATTGACTGGTTGAGAACCAGTGAGTAGGTGTCTCTCGACCATTTAAAGTTGGTTCGAGGGCCGCTACGCTGCCAGTCGAAGACCAGTCGTAGTTATCCCTCAACCATCTGAAGTCGTGGTACGAGGACCGCTACGCTATTGCCATAGTCGTACCTCGACCATCAGAAGTTAAGTCACGAGAGGTCGCTACGTCCTACTGGTTTGAGAACCAGGAGAAGGAGTCTCTCAATCACCTATAGGGGTGCCTAAGTTGGTTTGTTACATGTGCATCTCATGTGGCCAGCCTGACTCACATACCCAACTTATAGCATATCCGGATGTTTGCTCGCAATCATGTCGGGTGATCAAGCCGACAACGTTCACGAGAAGTAAAGCTAGTGGGAGTATCGCTACACCACTTGGTCAAAAACCAGGTGTAGCCTTAACTCGACCACGAGAAGTAAAGCTAGTGGGAGTATCGCTACACCGCTGGTCGAAAACCAGGTGTAGCCTTAACTCAACCACTAGAAATAGAGGTGCGAGAGATCGCTACAGCTTACTGGTCCGAGAACCATGAGTAGTCTCATCTCTCGGCCGATTGATGTCGATGTACGAGAGATCGCTATGGCCTACTGGTCCGAGAACCAGGAGTAGCCTTATCTCTCGACCGATTGAAGTCGTGGTGCGAGGACCACTAC